CCTGGCTTTGCTGTCCCATCTCTCATGTGATATGAAGGGAGAGAATGACGACAGGCTCCCTCTTGCTGGAGACAAGGGGCCTGAGCCCAGACTCTGCTTTAGAAATCATCCCGGCACAAGAAGAAGAAACACAGGAAGGAGAAGGAGGAGAGGCCACGAGACAAAAAGAAAGCCAAGAGGAAGCAGGCAGCGCCGCTGGAGAATGGTGCAGCAGAGGAGGAGGAGCCCATCCCGGTGAGCATGCCTGCCACCCTGCCAACTCAACCTTAAAACCTGGGTTCCATTTGGAGAGGTCCCAGAGTCTCTGGAAGCTGTGCTGTGGTGGGAGCCGTGACCAGCATCGTCTGGGGGCTCTTGGTCTTTATGGACGTGTCCCTATCTTGAGATACCCGCGAACGGCCAGGCCCCTGTCACCGCAGCTGATGTCATCTCTTCTTCCCCAGCCCATGTCCAGCTACTGCCTTCTGGCTGAGAATTCCTACATTAAAGTGGTAAGTGACACTGGGCTGCTGCAGGGAAGGGGGTCATTGCTGGGGGAGCAACCCACCACACGAAGCCTTGCAGGGCTGGCAGCAGCAATCAGACTAGAAGCTCAAGTGGCCTAGGCATTGCCACCAGTGTAGGCCCACCATGGCCAACAGCCCAACCACAGCTGGAGAGCCCAGTGTGGCCAAGTCACCTGAGGACAGCGTTGCTAACAGAACAAAGAGTGGCCATGGCGGGCTGGAGAGATGGCTCAGTGGTTAAGAGCATTGCCTGCTCTTCCAAAGGTCCTGAGTTCAATTCCCAGCAACCACATGGTGCCTCACAACCACCTGTAAAGAGGTCTGGCGCCCTCTTCTGGCCTTCAGGCATACAGACAGAATATTGTATACATAATAAATAAATATTAAAAATTAAATAAATGAAAAAAAAAAGAGTGGCCATGGCAACACACACATTAGGGCAGAGGCAGGAGAATTGCAAGATCAACCAGGATTACATTGCAAGACTCAAAAAGACAAGGGCTGGGGTGTAGCTTCATGAAGAGCTTAGTCTGAGGGTGGGGTCCTTGGGGGGCCACAGGCAGCTTTCACTTAAGAGTCACTGTCCTTCATCTTCACTGGGAGCTTATTCCCCCTCAGCGGGTCCCTGGTGCTTGACCTTGCCCTTGCTCATGCAGACATACGACATCCAAGCCAGCCTACAGAAGGACAGCCAAGTGACCGTGTCGGTCATCCTGGAGAACCAGAGCAACAGCTTCCTGAAGAACATGGAGCTCAACGTGCTGGACTCGCTCAACACCAAGATGGCCCGGCCGGAGGGCTCCTCAGTGCATGATGGTGTGCCTGTTCCTTTCCAGCTGCCCCCTGGTGAGCCCACCCATTGACCCTAGGATTCACAAAGCCAGCTCTGCTCTTTATGCTCTTGTTACCTGGGCTCCTGTACAAGGAATTTAACTAGAGCTCCTGGCGACAGCCAAAGCCACAGGCCCCAAGCCGCTTGCTGGGCTTTCCCTGGGACAAGGCTGGGATCTGGGGCCAGCAGCAGCAGCCCATTGTTTCTGTGACTCTGCAGAATCCTTGCCAGCTATGATGCTCTAGAGCCAGTGCTGACTCAGACCCTGGGCCCCACTGAGTGCCTTGTCTCCCATCAGGCGTCTCCAATGAGGCCCAGTTTGTGTTCACCATTCAGAGCATCGTCATGGCCCAGAAGCTCAAAGGCACGCTGTCCTTCATTGCCAAGGTATTCCCTGGGGCCCCAGGAACCATGGTCAGTGCTGAGGAGTCCACTCTACTCTGGGCTTTGGCTCCTTTGCCCTGCCCCAGTGGATGTCAGGCATCCCAGGAAAGGGAGTGCATGTCTGGAGCCATCCCACAGCTGCGGCTTCTCTTCTCACAGGACGACGAAGGGGCCACCCATGAGAAATTAGACTTCCGGCTGCACTTCAGTTGTAGCTCCTACCTGATCACCACACCCTGCTACAGGTATGTGTGCCTCCACCCTTCCAGAAACACCTTCCAGGGCAGGGAGGGCATAGGGGCGGGGGTAACAGCTCGGTGTGAGGTAATATGAGTCACCTTCGACTCCTGATACAGCCTGCTGCTGTCCTGGGTGCTTGTTTCTCCTGGGCCCCATAGCATTGCAGAGGCCTCTCTGTCCCCAGACGACTGCCCTGTGTGCCAGCTTCTGATGGTGTCACATAGCCCAGGCTGTCTTGGAACTTGAAGCAGTTCTCCTGCCTCGATATTCCCATTGCTGGGGTGACAGGTCTAATAACCAGGCCCTGCCATCACCCTCCATTCTGTCTTCCCACAGCGATGCCTTTGCCAAGTTGCTGGAATCAGGAGACCTGAACATGAACTCTATCAAAGTCGATGGCATTAGTATGTCTTTCCAGAACCTCCTGGCAAAGATCTGTTTCCACCACCATTTTTCTGGTAAACAATATCACAGTGATATCGGTTTCATCCCACAAGTGTTGCAGAAGCCAACCCTGCACTCCAGTCAGTCCCTTCCTGCTCAGGGCCTTGGCCTGCAGCCCTCAAGTGCCATCCCAGCATGGAATTTATAGCCCTGGAGAGGGCCTGATTCTTCCTTCTGTTGCAGTTGTGGAGCGAGTAGACTCCTGTGCCTCCATGTACAGCCGCTCCATCCAGGGCCACCATGTCTGCCTGCTGGTGAAGAAGGTGAGGTTGTGGTAGCACCTGCTGCTCTGTGGCCAACCAGGGCAGTCTTCAGGGAGAGGCTGAGCCTCACTGTCCAGGGCTGCTTAGACCAGTTAGACCAGCACACCCCCCCCAACTATATCCACCCCCACAGTTACACCAATCCCTCTCCCTGCTGTGCTAAAACCTACTGTTGGACCAGGCCCCCACCTGGTGAGCACAGGGCAAGAGGAAGGAAAGGCTCAGCAAGGTCTTAGGCCCGTGACTGGTGAGCAGTGTACTGTCCACCTGCCATCCATGCAGTCTGGAGGCAGAGTTCCTGAGTTCCAGGCCAGTTGTGGCTACATAACTTCAAAAAACTAAAGTGAATGCTGGACGGTGGTGCACACCTCTAATCCCAGCACTCAGGAGGCAGAGGCAGGTGGATCTCTGTGAGTTCGAGGCCAACCTGGTCCACAAGAGCTAGTTCTAGGACAGGCTCCAAAGCTATAGAGAAATCCTGTCTCAAAAAAAGAAAAAAAAACTAAAGTGAGGCCTAGGTCCCGGATGAGGGGAGGAAGGGTTGGCATTTTCAGCCCTGGACCACCTCCAGCATGGGTAGTATATGCATATGCTGTCCCCTAGGGTGAGAGCTCCGTGTCGGTAGATGGGAAATGCAGTGATGCCACGCTGCTCAGCAGCCTGCTGGAAGAGATGAAGACCACGCTGGCCCAGTGCTGAGTGACAGAGTCCAGGATGCCCGACAGACAACAGACAGATGTGATGGGTCTTGCCTCTCCTCTCCTTTGTCATGTGTACTGTCCCCACACCCAGCATTAATTTAATGCCACCGGCCTCCACTGTGTGACTCTGAGGTCCTATGTTGCATCAACTTATTTTATTATCCTTTTTTTTATTCTGACCCACACTCCTTTGGCAAGAAAGGCCATTCCAATTCCAACCCTAGCCAGCAAGGGGCTCCCAGCTCCACTCCCCGTTCTTGAAGATGGCTGTGGGGACTCCAAGCTGGTGGGCCTCCGGGTTTCCAGCAAACAGTGGGACTGATGTGTCCACACTCTTCTGCCCCCATGCTGCCTCTGGAGGAACCCTTCCAGCTGCTGCTGTCCCCAAATATCCTGACTGGTGGTGTCTGTGGAGAGGTGAGCAGGCCAGCTATTACCACATTTCATGCTAGTGTCTGTGTGGCCAGATGGATGAAGTGTGCTTGTGGGTCAGCTCAGCTGCTGACAGCAGGGACAGCCCTTTGATTTTCTTCTGTTCAATAGAATCTGGTGGGATTCTATTGAGGAGGTGGTCAGTGGATGAGTGCAATCCATGCCCCTCAGTTTGTCACTACACATCACGGGTTTGTCTGCGCTGTGCCACAGCTGTGGAGAGAGTGTGCGTCCTGGGAGCATTCGGTGCTTACCCAGCCATTCTGGGCAAGGTGAGGGACCCCAGCCTGGACACTCCCTATAGCTGGGTGGCTGGGCACAAGCTGAGCCTTCCTTATTGGTGGTGGTGGTCTACAGACATTCTGGCTGTTCCTTTGAGGACTGCTGTCACTTTAGCATGTAGAGTACTCTGTTACCGACCCCAGTGACCCTCCAGCTCTATGATGTTCCATGATTGATTTGCTGCCGACATTCCCATGTGAAGAGAGATATCACGCTGCTGATGATCGGTGTCGCTATGACCCAATAAAGAGTCGCAAAACACGTTTGTGTGTTTTGTCCTCACAGTACCCGAGAGCAGTCCCCAGTGTGCCATTCAGGCTCCTGGAGCTCAGATGAGTTCCCTTAACCTCCACCCGTGGGAGCTCTCACCCACATTTTTGTGGAAGACAGTGTTGTCTGCCCATCACTCTCCACTCACACAGCGCTGGGATTCAGACTCTGGCCCTTAGGCATGTGCAGCAAATGCTACTGTGCACTGAACCATCTTGCCATTTCTCCTTTTTTTAAAAAAAGAATTTAAAATTATGTAACCAGGCAGTGGTGGCACGGACCTTTAATCTCAGCATTTGATCTCTGTGAATTCAAGGTCAGCCTGGTCTACAGAGTGAGTTCCTAGACAGCCAGGGCTACACAGAAAAACCCTGCCTCAAAACAAAAACACAAAAATTAGGCATCTATGTAGCATGTGCACATCCTGTTTCCTGGCACTGCAGCTCCAGGTGGGTCGCATGCTATCCCACACTGAAATGCCAGGGCCTCTACAAGTCAACCAGGACTCTTGACTGATAGCCACATTGCCAGTCCCCAAGGCCCCTTTCTTACCAAACTCATGAGGTTGTGATGTGGAAACAGGATCTTGGGTTTTAAAAAACATTTGGTCCATCTCAGCTGCTCACTGCCACCTTGTGTGGGGACAAGCAAAGAAGTCAGCTTTGTCATCCAGCAGACTCTGAGCCCTGTCAACAGCTTAAATTCCAAACCCAGGCCTCTGAGGCACAGCACTCTGCTGTTCTAAGCATCCTGCCAACCCTGCCCAGGACCCAGAAGCGATATGGTCAGCAGTCGCTAAGTGTACAGAGTGACCACTGCTTGTGGTTGGTGACTGGCAAGAGTGCGGCTTGAGCTCCCAACAAAACATCCAGTGTCCCTGCTCTGTGTCCTGGTCCCTTAGGAGGAAGGACGGACTTTAGATGCTACCACTTGGTATTTCTTGTAAAATGCAGCCTCCCGGCTAACCTGCAGCTGCTCCTAGGAGCAAAAACTGTAGGGATGTACAGAGAGGTGTGCGCCTATCACTGGGGCCAGGAGACTGAAGACAACAAGGAAACCAGGTAGAAGCAGAAGTCCCTGAGTCTCCTGCATCAGTCATCTCCCAGCCCAGACAGCCAGCCCTACTCAGCCATTTCTCAGCCGAGACAGCCAGCTGGGCTCTGGTCACCTGCTGCCAGGTGCTCTGAGGAGTGTGGCCCACCTGTCTCTTCTGACCTAGGTCTTCCAAGATGAAATCCCAGACAGTAATCTGGCCCAGCTTTCACCCCACTGTGCATCCCACCCTGAGGCTGAGGTAATAGGTCAAGGTGAGCCTGGGCTACAGACAGACTTTAATCTCAAAGCAGTGGAGGGGCAGGACTGGGCTCCATTAATACAAGCCAGGTTGCACACCTGTCATCGCAGCAATAAGGAAATGGAGGCAGGGAGAATGTAATAAGGGCTTCTGCTATGTGGCATGCTCCTGCGTCAACAAGAACAGAACAGCCCCTCTGCAAATCAGCCCATAAGAACTCAAAAGGACTGGAATAAATCAGAGTCCCTGGATCCTGAGGAAGATGCTGCAGATGCCAGCCAAGTTGTTGGATCCCTCCCTCCCTGTGAGTAGATCCTCCACACCCACACGTGTTCAAGAAAAGCCCATGCCTCCAGCTACATCAAATACCCAGCCAGATCTGGCAGAAAAGAATTGTTCATCATGAGAAATGTCAGGACACTTTAATCAAAATATCTCTGGGGGCCCTGCCCAGGGGTCCCACCATCTATACACAAGCCCATCTCCCTGCTTCCCCAGCCCCGGCCCAGCCTGGGCTCCATGGGGTGACCAGAGGCAGGTAGCAGCTGGCCTCTCCTAGAGGAACAGGCAACAGTGTAGCTGAGTCTTGGCCCCCGCTAATACTGGGGCTGAGCAGCGCCATCAATGCTGGGTCAGACACTCAGAGGCGTTTTCCAAAGTCAGGTTCAACAAGTGCTGCACTTCCAGACACCTTATGCTTGGTGAAAGGCTTCAGGGGAGGAGGAAGAGGTGCCCTGAGCCCATTTGTCTGTTTATTCCCTCCTGCCTCCCTTCCCAGGCCTCTCTTCATGACCCATTAATATAGTTCAAGTTGACCCTCTACTTGAGATCTCCTGTCTCAGAGGCTTCCTAGAAGGCTGGGATTAATAGGTATGCACTACTAAATCCAGCCCCTGTCTTTTTGTTTTGGTTTGCTTCCTGCCTGTTCTTAAGGCCTAAAGAGTGTTGGGGTTACCCACCCTCCCCAACACCCACAATGATGGCCTTAGTAGGATATGCGAGGATCTGTGGCAAAGAGGTCACTTGATTTTGGAGTTCTTTCTCCCCCCAGGCCACCTGCTTCTTTGTTGCCTTATTCCTTGGGTCACTCACAAGGCTGGGGTGGTTCTGCACATCCAAGGCGAGGCCATAGAGAAGGACAGCACAGTTCATGCAGTGGTCACACAGGGTGGTATGATGGTATGATTATATTCATCCAGTGTGCGCCCAGAATGCCCTCCCACTCTCACTGACCCAAAGACTTCACCCCCATCCCTGCACTTATCCCTCCCCTGTGGAAGGCCTGTCTTACCTCGTGCTTGTATCCTGACTAAAATAGAACAGGGCAGCGATTAGACCCTCCGGGTTCGCCATCAACTTGGTAACCCTAGACTTCATGAAGACCCTTCAGCCAGGATGGTCTGCCCCCTTCCGCCAGATGAGCTTAGAAACCCTCAAGGGGGAGGGGGCAAAGTCCTCCTGGGTCTATGCAAGCTTCAAAATCTCACCATAAGGTACATACATACACACACTGTCTTGGATAAAACTGGAGATGGATTTGAACAGGAACTTACTTGTGCCAGGTATTTCTACAATGACAATTTGTTTGGAGTCAGGGAACCAAGTGGCCTCCCTTTATGTCCCCCTCTCTTGAGTTCTGATGCCCAATAAACCCCAGCTCACATGTAACTCAGAAGACCCTGCACAGCTGACTGCCACTGTGTTGATGACCTGGGGGAACACAAGGCTTGCTGGTGGGGTATTCCCAAAGCCCAGGACCCCAGGGCTGTGGGATAGGTGGCTAAGGCATACTTGCAGTAGTAACCAAAGCAGACAACACGTGAGTCTGTGCAGTTGACGCAGGAGATGGTCTCATACTGGAAGATGCCTGGAATACAGGAGAGGCAGCCACAGGCTCCCCTGGGCCCCCAAGCCTGGGCACCTGCCACTGTGGCCCTCAGTCTGGACCATGGTTCACTTACCACAGTGACGCTGACAGTCGATGCGGCCTGGGGGGGGGGGGGGGCGACAACAGGACAGTGCCTTCTGACAAAGCCCAGAGCTCAAGACCTGTCCCTCAGCCCCACTTCTGTTTCTGTAGCCCAGGCTAGCCAGGCATGAAGAAGATAGCCCAAGCTGACTTGGAACTTGTGGCAATCCTCTTGCCTCATTCCCTCATTCCAAATGCTGCGATTACAGGTATTCGCCTTGTGTTTCATGGAAATGGGAAGAGGTCCTCTATGAGGACCTCAGCGCAAGATGGAGCTAACCTACGGGAAGGATGATTTCTGCTCCAGGTGCTACCAGGAGACTATATGGTAGATGTGAGGGGTGATGGGTGTGCTGGTGACCACTCCTGCAAAAGGGTCTCCTGCAGAGCTACTCCCTCCTGAATCCTGTTTCCAGCACCCCCAGCCCTTTAGTGCCTGTGGCCAGGAGCACTGTCCCCTCCGTGGAGCCCACTGCTCACTCTCTATGATGGCGTTCTGGATGAGGCGCACTTGCTCCCGAAAGATGGCCCGCAGCTCATTGGGGAAATACCCTGATGTGGGAGTCACAGCAGAGTGGTCAAGCTCAGGTGTCTGGTGATCCGCACCGGCCCTGCCTCAGTTTCCCTTCTTTACCTGGGAAGTACATCTTGCCCTGGTACAGCTGGTCCATCCTCTGGTACACGGCTCCTGCCACTTGATCCAGCTTCTCCCGGGCTGAGGGCGGGAGGGAGAGGAAGCAGATGAGCTGCCCTGTCCGGGGTCCCTGTTGCTCTTCTCCTGACCCTGGGATGGGCTCCGCCGCTCACTGATCTCGGCGGGGATGGCCAGGTGTAGTTCCTTCATCGTGTTCTGGCTCCACTCGGTGAGCAGCACTCCCGACACGGGGATGTCACCAACCCACCAGGACTTGAGGTTCACGTGGTGGCGGTAGAAGGAGAACTTATTCGAGAAATTGGGGTCGCAGTGCAGGCAGCCCAGGGCCAGCGCCGCTGTCATGCCCAGGCACAGCAGCAACGCCATGAACTGGCCGGGCCGGTCGTGCCCATCCATCGGCGACACCAGCGCCGCGCCCTCCAGCCGCGCCCCAACCAACGGCGCCGCCCGCGCCACGCCCCGTCACGCCGCACCAACCAACGGCGCGCGCTCTCGACCCCGGAAGCGCCGTCTGGCCCTGCCTCCGGCATGGCTCCGCCCATGAGGCGGGGCGTGTCCGAAGAATGGCTCCTCCCTTGCCTGGCCCCGTCCCAGTGCGACTCACGCTCCAGACCCAGTTCCGCTCACAGGCCTGGTCGCGCGGCAGGTGGCTCCGCCCCCTGCCTGTCCGCCCCGTCCCAGCGAGACCCAGGTCTCAGGTCTGGCTCTTCCCTAAGACTGGCCACGCCCCCGTTACAATTGGCAAGTAGTGATGCCAGTCAGCCTCCAAGTTCCGCCCCCAATTGGCTCCGCCTCTCCTGCAGCATCTCACGCATGCGCCACGGCCTGGCGCCAGTTCCTGAGCTTGAGCTGACGAGATCAGCCCCCCGCAGTATCCCAGCCAATTAGCAGCGCTGAGTGCCGCCCTTCATTACGGGGCTCCTCGGGAGCACCGCCGCCACGCCTCCATCCGGGCTCCGTCCCTTTAAGGGAAGTAAATCCGGCCCGCGGGCGCGGCCAGGGCGGGGCGCGCGGCGTGTCCCTCCGCGGGCGTGTCCCTCTGCTCGCGCGGCCCGGCACAGCGAGGCGGGAGTCGGCTCCAGACCGCGGTGGTCCTAAGGCGGCCAGGTGGGTCCTCGGAGGGCGCAGGCGGGCGGCGGGACCCCATCCCTCAGGATGACAACGTCCAGTGACCAAAGCCCTGACTCAGAGGGGTCCAGAGTGGGGACCTGCCTGTCAAAAGGAGGACGCTGCCCATCAGGATGGGCAAAGTGAGCGTCATGGGTTACAACCCCATTTTTAATATTTGAAGTCTCAGCAGGGGCTGGCCTTCAGATAATTGATCGGATCCTTCTCAGCCCCCGCCTGACTCATTTCTTTAAACCGATCACGTTTCTGACTAAAAATTCATTGAAGGCCTGAGGCTCTTTTGCTCAGGGGTGAAGTATTTGACTTGTGTCTATAAAACTTTGGGTACCATCCCCACTACCATCCCCCAACGCCGCCCCCCCCCCAAAAAAGCCATTGAAAAGGGTGGACAAGCTAGTTCCAGGACAGCTACTACACAGAAAAACCCCGTCTCAAGGAAAAGAAAGAAGAAAGAAAGAAAAGGAAAGGAAAGGAAAGGAAAGGAAAGGAAAGGAAAGGAAAGGAAAGGAAAGGAAAGAAAGAAGAGTGGACGGGAACAAGGGAGTTTAGAAAACATCACAGGAAGTTAACTTCGATGGCAGTTTCCTCTTTTTTTTGAAACAGGGTCTCACTATTCAGCCCGTGCTGTTCTGGAACTCAGAGATCTGCCTGCCTCTGCTTTCTGAATACTGGGATTAAAAGTGCGTACCAATGCCTTTTCCTTCTCTCTCTCGACCCCCCCCCCCACCTCCGTCCTTCCCTAGGCCTACAGTCACAGTAAAGGGTTGGTATAGTGTGAGGTGTGGCAAAGGTCCTTTTTACGTCTTCCAGAGCTCACCTGGATCCTTGTAAATTTTGGTTTCCAATTTGCTACCATTATGCAAAGTCGGGGAACTCGGGTAAACAGAGGATGGGGACCCTGGGACACTACCTTCCTCACCCGGTCTCAGGTTCCTTCCATACCATCTCCAGTCTTTCCTGGAGGTCATAAACTCTTAGAGGCTGCTGGTAGCCCTGTTCCTAGGCATCCCTGAGGGATGGAGCCCCAAGGACAGCCTGGGTAACTTAATGACACGTCCTTTCAAAAAGCAAAAGGAGTGGCACACGCCTTTAATCCCAGCACTCGGGAGGCAGAGGCAGGCGGATCTTTGTGAGTTCGAGACCAGCCTGGTCTACAGAGCTAGTGCCAGGACAGGCTCCAAAGCCACAGAGAAACCCTGTCTTGAAAAAAAAAAAAAAAAAAAAAAAAAAAAAAAAAAAAGGCAAAAGGAACTAGGGCAGGGGTGCACACTTTAATCCTGGCTTTCTGGAGGCAGAGGCGGGGATTTCTGAGTTGGAGGCTAGCCTGGTCTACAACAGCTGGGGCTACACAGAGAAACACTCTCAAAAAACTGGGGTATGGTCAGGAGGAGCCCCGCCTAGAGTCCCCAGTGAGGGGCTGGGGGCGTGGTCAGGAGGAACCCCGCCTAGAGTCCCCAGTGAGGGGCTGGGGACGTGGTCAGGGTGGAGCCCCGCCTAGAATTTCCAGTGAGGGGGTTGGGGGCGTGGTCAGCAGCAAAATATTAGTTTAGAATATGCAAGGGCCTGGGTTCATTCCCATTATTGGGGGGAAAAGATAAGCATGGCCCCAAAGTAGAAGTAATGTTTCGCTGTTAGGACGGTGTGAAACTGAAACAAACGACTTGAATCCTTTGCCTGGGACCAGGGTCGTGGAATCGGCAGAGACCCCAGTTAGATGTCGCGTCAGAATGACACTAGTTTGACAACACCGCAGGGCGCCACGTGGCTGTCCTGGTGTCGTGAGCTTCGGGCTCTGTGGGTGACACGCCTTTTGACCTAGGAGATATACTTGTGCGAACAGTGTGTTTGTGAGCACGTGTGTACAGCATCTGCCTTCAGGCGCTCCAGGAAGTCAGAGTGGTCCCTTCTGCTGGAATTTGGGTCACAGGCAGGTTGAGCTGCCACGTGAGTGCCTGGAACTGAACCGCAGCCCTCTGCAAGCGCAGTAAGGGCTTGTTAGCTCAGAGCCATCTCTGCTGCTTTTTACTTTTTTTTTTTTCGAGACAGGGTTTCTCTGTGGCTTTGGAGCCTGTCCTGGAACTAGCTCTTGTAGACCAGGCTGGTCTCGAACTCACAGAGATCCGCCTGCCTCTGCCTCCCGAGTGCTGGGATTAAAGGCGTGCGCCACCACCGCCCGGCTTCTGAATGTTATTCTACATTTCATCTCATAGAGTTCTAGAGGTTTCCATGACATTTATTCTAAAGGCAAATGTGTGATAAATCTCTTCTTTGGGGGATGGGTTGAGACAGTCTCCCTGTGTAGCCCAGGCTGTAGCCCTGTGTAGCCCAGGCTGGCCTTGAACTCAGAAATTGGCCTGCCTCTGCCTCCCAAGTGCTGGGATTGAAGGTGTGCCAACCAGCAGCTGGCATGTAATTACTGTTTTTAAAGAAACTGTCACATCCTGCTGCGTCATTCGGCTTGGACCAGAACTCTCAGTCCAGGCGATCCTCCTGCCTCAATCTCCTGTGTAGCTAGGAACAAAAGCTGCACACTAGACCGCAGGCATGATAAAGTTCACTGTAATTAGAGCATTGTCTCGCTAAATTACTATGACTGCCATGAACTCACTCTGTGGACCAGGCTGACCCTCACTCCAATCCTCCTGCCTCAGCTTCTTGAGTGCTGCCATCACAGTAGAGTGTTAGGTTCATGGCACAACTGACTGAGTGTGAGGTGGGTTTGGTTTCACAGTGACCTCTTTATGACCCAAGTTGGCAGCTGTCCTTAGGGCTCAATCTGGGGTCAGCTGTTGCTTTTTGTGTTGCCTCACTGGGGCAAAGAGCCTGGTGTCCTGCCAGCTCTGCTCCAGGCTCCCAGCTCTGAGGTCTGAGGCACTTGGAGTTTAATCATGGCTCTCTCCTCTAGTACAGCAATGGCAAGGGATCTTCTGTATGCACCTTAAAGAAATTTGCATCTGTCTGTGTGTCTATCTATCTATCAGTCTGTCTGTCTTATCTGTCTATCATCTATCTTATCTATCTATCATCTATCTCATCTATCTATCTATCTATCTATCTATCTATATCTATCTATCTATCTAGTGAGGGAGGAGTCTGGTCTCTTCTTCTACCATTTGGGTTCCTGTGGAGCTCAGTTTCTCAGACTGTGGCAAGTGCCTCCGGGCACAGAGCCAGCTCACTGGCCCCTGCTTTATTTTTTCTCTCCAGCTCCATGTTGAAACCCAAGTTACCCTGTTACTCTTTTCTCAGGAAGCCTCTCAAACTGCCACTTCCCCAGCACTCGGGAGGCAGAGGCAGGCAGCCACTTCAAAACCCAAGCATGGTGGGGCAAGCCTAGCAGCCTAGGAAAAGGCAGGAAGGTCAGGTTCAAGGCCAGCTGCGTGAGACATGATGCCAGTTCAAATCCCCAGCTTGTAGCCTCGTGATTTTTGCTAGGTGGGATGGCCCAACTCACATGTAGCTTTCCTGCATGACCTTCATACTCTGAACGTTCCTGGGGGCATCTCTATAGCCAGTGTCCCACTTGCAAATGGGGGTTTCACCGAGAGAAGTTCCCGGGAATCCCCAGCAGTTGGAAATAGATGTAGCTTTCCAAGAATGCCTGACTTCAAAGCCTGTTCAAGCAGGAGGAGTCTGTGCACCTTTGGCTACACAGTGAGTCTGAGTCCAGCCTGGGCTACATGAGACCTTGTCTTTTAAAAAAAGGGAGAAGAAAAAGAAAGAAAAAAGGAATTGTTTGGAGACAGAAGGGATGGCCCAGCAGTTAGGAGGGCATGCGCTCTGCCGCCAGCTGCTGGCTCTCTGGTTCCATCACGATGAGGTTTGGGAATAGTGCCGTAGTGAGCAGAATGCAAACCCAAGGCTGTGTACAGAGGCCTTATGTCTGTCTCATTTTGTCTTTGCTGGGCTACTGAGTTTGAACCCTGAGACTCAGGCACTGCCCACTGAGCCACGCTCCTGCTCTGAAATGACCTTCTATGTGGAGGTGGCCTTGAGACACTGCTTTGTTCTCAGATTCTGGGCTACACACTGAGCAAGCACATGGGACTGCCTCAGGCCCTGTCCCCAAGGCAGTGGCAGGATGTGGAAACCTCCGGAAGGAAGTGGGTGACCCTGAGCTCCTGAGCCCTGCACCCTGGCCTGGGAGGGGTCAGAGCCTTGTTGCCTAGCACACTGTTTTCTTGTTTTCAGAAAGGGAGGAAGAGGAGCCTGTGGGTGCTGGGGTAGGAGAGCAGCTTTATCTACCTCATGTCCTTCTAGAAGGTTCTGTCATGTCTTCTTCAGCAGTGGGACAGCCTAGAGAAGAGGACCCTGGGGTGCTGACATCCAGTTCTGAGCAGGTGTTGGAAGTCCACTAAGAGGACCAGAGAGGAGACGCCTAGATGGTACCTGGGACTGTGCGGGGAGGAGTGTGACGGGCTGTGGCCAGCCTAGGTCTCTGTGCTGGAGGAAGTGTGTTTCCAACAGAAAGCAGTTCATCTTGACAGGTACTCTATCCATCACCAGATTTTCTAGAAAATATTTGCTCCTCCCTTGAAAAAAAGAAATTTTAAGAAAACACAGAGCTGGCAGTGGTGGCGCACGCCTTTAATCCCAGCACTCAGGAGGCAGAGGCAGGTGGATCTCTGAGTTCGAGGCCAGCCTGGTCTACAGAGCGAGTTCCAGGACAGGCTTTCAGGCTGGATAGCTGCAGCGAAACGCTGTCTCAGAAGGACATAGACATATATGTGGTGGGGCTACAAAGACCTTCTGCCTTCAGCGTCTAGAACAGTCCTGTGGGACTGCAGTATACACTCAGAAAGTATAGGGAAAGGTCACAGCAAATTGGCATGCCGGTGTGAGCTGAGCAGGAGGATGGAGATTTCAGGGTCAACCCCCAGCCCCAGGCTGCGCCTACCTGAGAGAGGGGGGCCTGAGCTAGGAGGGCAGAGACCCAGCCTGGAGCCTGCGTCAGTAGATTCCTGAAGTATGTGTGTGCTCCGCTGCACATCCCACTGTCACTGTCTGCCACAGTCCTCCCGTAGGCTGGGCAGGGCGTTGCTGCCTCCAGGGGACCCTGTGTGCAGTGGGTGAGGCACCAAGGATGCTTCTCTGCACCCTGCGTGTGCCATGATGTCCCACAGAGAAGCACTGGCCCAGTGGGCACTGAGGCAGAAGAGCCTCAGGGGAGCTGTCTGGCATGGAGGTGGCATTTCCTCAGAAGGCTGTGAAGTGCACAGTGCCTAGTCAGGTGTGAACCAGCAAGTGCCGACGCTGAGGTGGGGTGGGGACGCTGGGGACAGATGCTGTGAGGAAGCTTGAACCCATCTGGTGTCCAGTCTCCTGCCTGCAGGGCACTGCTGACCTGAGCAGTGTCCCGGTGACTCCCATGCGGGCTCACCATTGGATCCCCTGTCAACCTTTACTTGTTTCTATTGATTGATTTTTGAGCTGGTATCACTATGTAGAATAGGCTGACCCCAAATTCATTATGTTTCCTTGGCTGGCCTAAAACTCATTATGTAGACCAGGCTGGCTTAGGATTCACAGAGATCAACCTACCTTTGCCCCAGAATGCTGGGGTCAAAGATGTGTGCCACCATGGAAAAGATGTGTGCCACCATGGGAAAGATGTGTGCCACCATGGGAAGAAGCCCTTGTTTTGTGTCTTATGTCAGGGTCTCATGTAGCCCAGGCCTGAAACTAGCATAGGGTGATTTCAAATTCCTGATTCTCCTGCCTCCACCTCCTATGTCCTGGGACGATGGGCATGAACCACCGCCCTAGGTTATAACCTCTTATTGTCTCCCTTTCTCCGTAGCTACTCTCCTCTGAAGGCAGGTGCTGAGTGAGGGCGTTGACGTAGTGTGATAGTTCTGAGAACTAACCTCGGTTTCTTCCTTTCTGGGGTCCAGAGCAGTTGTGTTGACATCCTAATTTGTGTGCCCTGTGTCTCATTAAGACATAAAAGGCAGCCAAGCGATGGTGGCACATGCCTTTAATCCCAGCACTCAGGAGGCAGAGGCAGGCGGATCTCTGTGAGTTTGAGACCAGCCTGGTCTACAGAGCTAGTTCCAGGACAGGTTCCAAAGCCACAGAGAAACCCTGTCTCGAAAAACCAAAAAAAAAGAGGCAGGATTAAGTACAAGCTAAGTTGTACAGCTACCACCTCTAATTCCGGAAGATTCCATCTCCTGTGAACTATGATGTCCCTTCCCGGCCCCCACAAGTTCACTCCTGCCTCTAACTCGGCCTAATGAGGACATTTGTGTCGTGGGGTCCCTCACTGTGGCCCTGTCTGTCTGGTCCTCCTGTGCATGGTTCAGTGGTCCTCCAGGCTCCATGTCTCTGTACATCTGTAGGCCCCGGCTGTTGGTCCTGTGTGTGGGTGTGACTTCAGTTCTGTGCACTGAGGGTTGATGAACCTGGCATCCTAGCACTCAGCAAGCAGAAGCTCAAAGAGGCCAGCCTGGGCTACATGAGACCCTGTCTCCAAAAAAAACACACAAGTTATTAACTGTGAGTTAGGTAGGGCTGCCTGTCTTGGGTGGGGCAGCCCACACCACATGTCACTCCCCCACCCCCACAGCTTCCCCTTTTGTCTGCAACTGTTTTTCCAGTTCCGCAGTGTCTTTGTTTCATTTCATGACTGCACCCCAATTATCTCTCCGGTATTACCTGGCCGGTCTCAGGGAGCAGAGTGTAGTAGGTCCCCCCTGGTGCAAGCTGAGAAAAAACCTCCTGACTTGTGTGAAGTCCTAGGTCCGTCCCAAAACATGGAAGTAAAGATTTGGTCCTTGGCTGCTCAGCTAATCCTGAGTGACCTTATGTTGAGGCTCTTCCTTACAGGTCACATCCTGGGACTCTGAGGACCAGATGTCACTGTCACTTCCAGCGCGCCCACGTGCTTCCTGAAGAAGAGTCAGAGCAGTGTCTAACCTGGGGGGGGGGGGGGCACAGGTGCCTCTGAGGGCATTGTTTTGTGTCATGTGACCATTTGTTCCCAAGGAACCTGCCCCTTTTGGGGAAACTGTTCCCTGCCGAAAGTCTGCAAGCACAGCCTTTGTTTCTTAGAGCAAACATTTCAGAAGTATATAATTGCTTACACAGTTTCCAAGTCCTATCTCGGCTTCCCGGGATGGCAGTGCCAGCTGGTGCCTAGTCCTAATACCATCCTCTTCTGTTTCAGACCTCTGGGTGACCACAGCATCCCTCCCTCCGTGGTCTCTGCTGCGCCTTCTGAGACACAAGTGCCACCAAGATGGCCAACCCATTTCTGAAGCAAGTGTTCAACAAGGACAAAACGTTCCGGCCCAAGCGCAAGTTCGAGCCCGGAACACAGCGCTTTGAGCTCCACAAGCGTGCGCAGGCATCGCTGAACGCTGGACTAGACCTGCGGCTGGCGGTGCAGCTGCCACTAGGTGAGGACCTCAACGACTGGGTGGCTGTGCATGTGGTGGACTTCTTCAACCGTGTCAACCTCATCTACGGCACCATCAGCGATGGCTGCACCGAGCAATCGTGCCCGGTTATGTCCGGGGGCCCCAAGTATGAGTACCGCTGGCAGGATGAGCAGCGCTTCCGGAAGCCCACGGCGCTCTCCGCGCCCCGCTACATGGACCTGCTTATGGACTGGATTGAGGTGCAGATCAACAACGAGGACATCTTCCCCACCAATGTCGGTGAGTCGAGGCTGCACCCCTGTCTGCTCACACCCATGAGGGGCCCAGCCACGCCAGGGCCCCTGTCTGCTGTGAGCGCAGCACTGAGCAGAAAGGGCCAGACAGGCTCAGCTGGCTTGCAGTTTGCGTGTGAATACTACAATTTCGTGTGCGTGTCTATGTGCACCACACCACATGCTGGGGTCCATGGAGGTCAGCACAGGCTTTCGGCCCCCTGGGCTGGAGTTCCAGGTGCTTCTGAGCTCCTTGGGCTGTTGGGAACTGGTCTGGGCTCCTCTGCTCATGCCTTTAACCACTGGGCCATCTCTCCAGGTCTGCATCATGATGATGATGATGATTTTTTTTTTTTTTTTTGGTCTTTTGAGACAGGGTTTCTCTGTAGCTTTGGGGCCTGTCCTGGAACTAGCTCTGTAGACCAGGCTGGCCTCAGACTCACAGAGATCTGCCCGCCTCTGCCTCCTGAGTGCTGGGATCAAAGGTGTGCGCCACCACCGCCCAGCTTGTGTGATGATTTTTATTTGTTTACTTTTGGTTTCTAGAGACAGGGTCTCACTGTGGAGCCCTGGCTGTCCTAGAACTCACTGTGTAGTCCTGGCTAGCTTCAAACTCAGAGAGATCCTCCTGCCTCTGCCCCAATTCGCGCCCCACAAGTGCAGTGCCTCATGGTTTTTCTGGAGTGTGTGTGCATGGTCATGCGTTTGTGGGTACATGCAGATGTTCGGGTACATGCGCACTGGGAGGCCAAAGGCCCCCTTGGGTGTCATCAGAGAAACAATCTACCTCCTTAGAAACAGCATCTCTCGGTGGCCTGCCATTCACCAGTTTGGCTAGAAGACAGGGTTAGCTGCAGTGTACCTTCTCAGTCAGGCTCAAGTTCATGTTGCCACGGTCCTCGTTTCCATACACATCTGGGGTGCCCACTCAGGCCTCAGGATTTCACCAACTGGACACAAGAGCTTCTGTTGCCTAAGTTGGTCTTGAACTTAGGATGTAGCTGAGGCTGACCTTTGATTCCTACCTCAGATTTCCTAATCCTGAGGTGACAGCTGTGCCACACCTGGCTTTTTATTCATGTTTTATCGATCATTGTGGGTTTTAATTTATTTTTTCTTTATTTATTTTGAGATATGGTCTTACTGTGTAGCACTGGCTGGCTTCAAACTCCACAGATCATCCTGCCCTCCATCCATCTGGAGTGTGTGGTTAATAAGAGGGCTGGGGCGTGGTGGCCTCAGAGGCCCTAGCCTCTCCCTTGCTGAGCGTGTCTCCCAGTGCTGTGACTTAAACCACATGCTGGCCACAGTGGAGGTGCTGACCCATTGTTCCCACAGGAGGCCAGAGGCTCAGGAGTTCAAGGGTCGTCCTTGAATCTGGTGTGTCCAGTTAGAGGCAACTCAGACTCCCAAGATAACAGCAGCAGTAGAAAAATAATGGACCAAAGCCCAGCGAAAGTGCAGTCACTTCATGGCCCTGTCTCGGCCCTTGGACCACCTATAGTCTGGGCGTGGCAGGGCAAGTCCCTGCCCACGTCTGTGGGAGCACATGGCCCACACGGCCTCGATCCCTTGGCTCTAGGCCCCTTCCTCCCTCCTCAGAGCTGGCAGCATCTCTCAACCTTCCCGCCTCTCTCTGAGGACTCTGTGGTCACACTTGAGCCCCAGATGCTCCAAGATGATCCCAACTGAAGGTCCTCACCTATAGCCTCCCTTCCGTTCCTGGAGGGACCTGCTCCAGACTTTGGGGACCAGGATATAGTCATCCATGGAGCCTCATTACTGAACCCAGGTCTGAAGGGCTAAGAGCTGCGGCACCGCCCGTGTCTTCACTCTTTGCCCGCCTGCTCTATAGCTCTAGTAGGGACACCTGCTGGCTCTGCTCATCCTGGGACACTCATAAAGTCATGCATTCATGTGCTGTGTGAGCCATGTCCTCAGGGGGGGGTGAGGCTGTGGCAACCTAGCAGCTGCTGGGCCTGAAGAAATTTCCTGGGGCTTTGAAAAGGGCAGAGCAAGGTGGTCAGAGTGGACCAGGGCTCTCATCACAGAGAAGGCTCCCCAGGCTGGGCAATTGTCTGCCCACGGAAGCTGGGCAGACAATTGCCCACGGAAGCTGACTCTTAGCTTGGCAGGAAGTTGGTCCCTGGGATGGGAACATTTGCTGTGTGACCTCAAGCATGCACCTTGACATCTTTGAGCCTCCACCATGCTCACCTCTGTGGCCACCTGGACCGAGGTCCCAGGCCAGCTGGTCCTGAGTGGTCTCCTTCCTGGTTCCTCCACCCACCTCCAGGCACACCATTCCCTAAGAACTTCCTGCAGGCAGTGCGCAAGATCCTGTCGCGGCTGTTCCGTGTGTTTGTGCACGTGTACATCCACCACTTCGACCGCATAGCGCAGATGGGCTCCGAGGCACACGTCAACACATGCTACAAACACTTCTACTACTTCGTCACCGAGTTCAACCTCATCGACCCCAAGGAGCTGGAGCCCCTGGTGAGCTCAGGGGTGGGGTCCACAGCAGAGGTCTCCTGGCAGTCTGCCCCATGTGCCTGCCTCAGAACAAAGAGCCCCCAGTTTCCTAGTTCCCCACTCTAGGGAGGTTGCCGTGTAGTCATCCCATCCACCATGGCTCACATGGGATGTAGAACAGACCACAGGTGGGGAGGCTCCTGCCTGCAACGCCCCGAACATCTATGGAATTTCCGTGCAGCATCTCCCCATGACCTGTGCTCCCACCTGTGAGAGTCTGAGGCGTGCTGATTGATTGGTTTCGGGGGGTTTTGTTTGTTCACTCATGTGTTTCCATGTGCACACGTGGCTGCCATGACATGCATGTAGAGGCCCCCAGGACAAGCTGGGGTCCGTTTTCTTCCTCCGTCCTGTGGTACCTGGGCTCACTCCAGTTGTCAGGGTGGGCAGCCAGCTCCTTTGTCCCACAGCCGTTCTCAGCCCCACAGCCTGCTTCTGTAGTTGTTTGTTTTCAGACAGAAGCTCATGTAGCCTCAGCTAGCCCTGAGCTCCGATCCTCCTGCCTCCATCTACTGGATGCCGGGGTGACAGGTGTCCCCACAGCTCCTGGAGCTTCCACATGGAGGCTTGTCCTCTTCCTGCTGCCAACTTTTTATTAAGTTGTATTGGTCCTGGCCCACATGCCAGGCGTCAAGTGACTTAAATCACAGCCCATGTCCACGTGCCCCCAAATCAGAGGCACAGATCCTCTGTCCACCGTAGGGAGCAGTCCCCACCCCACACACTGTCCAGGTTCTTGCATGATTTTTTTGTGTGAAGCCTTGCTCCTCTCTGTCCCCGGCGTGTGCCTCTGACACCTGCTGTCCCCACAGAAGGAGATGACCTCACGGATGTGCCACTGAGGCCCCCTGGCCACCAGGACTCAGGAAGACAGCTTGGGCGCCCCTGTCAGCTTTGTTCAGCCTGGGTCTCAGGAGCGTCACCTCAAATGCCGCTATCAGAGGACCAGAAGGACTCTGGCTCCTCCCTCCATCTCCGACCTGTGCTGGACTTGAAATCTATAATACTGCATCCTCTCAGCCACCAGGCTCACACCGTGTCTGTGCCACAGCCTCTGGCAGGAGGCAGGATCCGGAGCCATTGCCAACTACCCCCCTGTCCCGTCTCCATGCCTGTCCAGCCTTGCCCCATGGCCTTAGTATGTGTGGCCACAGCTCTGTCCCCTTCTTCCTAGCCTGGAAGGAAGGTGGCATCCGGTCTCCTCTGCAGAGCCACACTCTGTGTGGTGAGCACATGGATGCCCAGCGGCCACACATCTAAAGATGTAATAATGAGCCATGTCCTCCACTGCCCAGCTCTGCCCTCTGCTTGTACTTCTGGACATCACGCATTGCCAGAACTTTCCACTCATTCTGCCTGGCCCTTCTGAATGGCGCCCTCTCCAACCCCCCACCCCCAGGCAGGATTCCCAGTATGGAGTGTTCTGAGGTGCCTTTGCAGGACCAGGAGGGTACAGGTGCTGCATGCAGAGGTCTCGGAACTCTGGAGGCAGATGTAGGAGGAGTGCTACAAATTCAAGGCCCCTCTGGCCTCCACACTGAGAATCAGGCCTTCAGGGTCTCATAACAAGATTGTATTTAAGATCCCCCGCCCCCCAAAAAAACAAACTTTAAAGGAAGCTGGGCGGTGGTGATGCACACGTTTAATCCCAGCACTTGGGAGGCAGAGGCAGGTGGGTCTCTTTGAGTTGAGACCAACCTGGCCTAGAGAGCTAGTTCCAGGACAGCCAGGGATAGTATACAGAGAAACCCTGTTTCAAAAAAAAAAAAAAAAACGAACAAAAAAGAAAGGTGTGACCTCAACCCCCATGTGAAAGCCAGGTGTGGTAGCATTTGTCATCCCAGCTTCGGTCATATTCTACATCCCAAGTGTGCAGATTAAAAAGGATGTCAGACACAACACCCAGACCATTCAGAAATGTCTGTGTTTTGTTTCAGTTTTTAAGACAGGATCTCAGACTATCCCTGGCAGACCTGGGACTCATGTAGCACAGACTGGCTTCAAACTCCCAGATCTACCTACCTCTGCCTCCCCAGCACTGGGATTCAAGACATGCCCTTCTGGAGATCTTAGAGAAAAAGTTTAGCCTGTTTCTAGTGGCTGCCCTCTTGGGTGCAGTGCCCAGTCCAACCAGAATCCAGGAATGAATTTTCACATTATTTCAGCATCTGCTGAGGTCAGCATTCCTAGGGGGTCGCAACAGGGGCATTCCTTCAGTGGCAGCCTGTTGTGACCCTAGGGGCCACAGGACCAAACTCCCACTGACTCCTCTCTACCATGCCGTGGAGGACATAGCAGGGTGTGACTGTCCGCAGCACCAGTCTTTGACCCTCTGGCCTTTCCCTTGAGACCTGTACACTGTGAAGGCCCCAGGGAATTCTGGTTATTTTCCCAAATCTGGGAGGCTGTCACTGAACCAAATGAGCACAGTTAGCAAGAAGTCAATGCCTGAGCCCTTCAAAGCCTGATGCTGCAGCCCTGGAAGGACCCAAGGACCAGCCCTCAAGGCTTGACGGAATGTATCTCCCACCTGCAAGGCTGGGCCACTGTGCCAAATCCCAGCAGCCCACACACCAGCCCAGGGAGGGGTCCATACTGCCTTATCCATCCCACCTCAATTCAAGCCTAAGAATAAAGCGGTCATCTTGACACTCTGGACAGCTGGCTGCTGTTTGTGTCCACTCCCACCCTGAAAGAGGGACTGGTGATGAGCTTTGGTAACTGCTTGTTAGACCCTAAAGGGCCCAGGGAGCCCAGGGTCCAGAATCTGCACAAAGTAGGGTCACAATGTGTAGCTGCAATTTTGTGTTTTCTTTTGAGATGGGGGTTTTCCTACTGTATGACTGTCCATGATGTGTTGTGTGCTGCTGCGCTGTGGAGTCAGGACAGCTCTGGAGTCTTTCTTTCCTACCCCATCATGATCCCCGGATCCTCACAGAGCAGAGTGGGGTGTGTGTGTGTATGTGTGTGTGTGTTCCTTCTAGGTGGGGCTCCACCCTTACCACGCCCCCACCCCCTCACTGGGGATCCACCCCTCTGGGGTTTTTTGTATTCCGTGGGGTTTTTTTGTATTCCGTGGGGGTTTTTTTTTGGTGGTTTTGAGACAGGGTTTCTCTGTAGCCCTGGCTGTCCTGGAATGCCCTCTGTAGACCAGGCTGACCTTTAACTTACAGATCGCCTGCTTCAGGCTCCAAAGTACAGCTGCCCGGCCTCCCACTCCTGTGGAAGGCATGCAGTTTTGACAACCCTCTGAGTCTCATTCCGTGTATTATGGTTGTAGATGCCGGTGGTCTGAAACAAGATTCCTAACTTCCATTTCATGACGACCCTCCTCCTCTGTGCCCTCCAAAGTGGTGGATTGGCAGGCTTGCACTGTGTGCCCTGCTGGAGGCATCTTGGGTGTGGGTTGCAGGAAGCCTGGGCCGCCCTCTAGGCGTTGGCGCAGTACCTCTTCTCATCCATAGATGGCGCTGCGGACTAAGGCAGAGGGAGGCTGTTGGAGCCACGTGAGGCCTGGAATGTTCCTCAGCTTCCTCCTGCTTCAAAACTCAGTAAGGCTTCCCAAGGCATGCTGCTTCTCCCGAGGTCCCAGGTTTTGTAGATCTTCATTTGGAGCATTGCCTGTCGTGGCGTCCTGTACTGTGTGACCTTTTCTTCTGTTTTTGTCGCTGAGCACCATGTCTTCGGCGTTCCTCCACACTCCTCTGGAATAATACCCAGGCCGTGGCAGGGCACGCCTGACCTGCTCTCAGGGGCACGCATTGTCTATCCAGTACAGATGTGTTAGGGGGCTCTTCTGTTGGCCTAATGACTACCCTAGACACATGGCCCTATGTTCCTAGATACTTCTTTGACCACTGCCCTGTTCACCCTGGGACCTTCACATGGACACTGACCCCAACACCAACGTCAGTCTTCCCACCTGCTTGCCTATCTGAAGACACAGAATCAGGCTTGGTCATCTCCATTCCCTCCTCAGACCCCACACGGCGTCCTTTAGGTTATCTTGAACGTCTGTGTGTAGTCAGGTCCCAGTGACACTGTGGCAGGGACAGCTGGCCCAGATCCCCAGAGGCGTCCTGCTGTGCTAGGCCCTCTGCTTCTCCGGAGACTCAGCCCTGTGTCCAAGGCTCGCCGGTTCCTGTAATCCACCATGAGTTCCCTGTCCCCCTGAAGGGCTGCAGATGAGATGGATCACTAAGAAGGTGAAATAGAGCCCTGCGCAGTGTTTCTACCATCCGTCTCCAGAACTTTCTGTCTCCTCTCACTGACACTCTGTCCCATCTGACTCGCTCCCTCCCTTCCTCAGCTCCCACCATCCCACTTCCCCTCTCCATGGATGGCTCTGCCACCTCCAGGAACCTCTGGGAGTGGACCCTGTGCTGTGTGTGAGTGTGTGCATGTGTGCTTGCGTGCGTGCGTGCATGCGTGCGTGCCTTCTGCGTCTGGGGCATGCTAATGAGCAGTGTGTTCTGGAGGTCCCTACATCTGAGAACATGTCAGGTGACCTTGTCTACTTTTCTTCTGGATTACTTGGGACTTTCACATCATGCACCCAGGTCCTTACTCCTCACTCTCACCTGTGATCTCTCTCCACCACACACATAAACACACATATACACACATAAACATGCACATATACATGCATACACACACATACACATACACACATATACACACACATATATATACACACATACACACATAAACATACATACTCACACATACAAACATAAACATACACACATATACACACATACACCTGCATAAACAAACACAAACATACACACATATACACACATACACCTGCATAAACAAACACAAACATACACACATATACACATATGCATACACACAAACATAGACACATATACGCATACATACATGCACATACACAAACACACACATATACACACATACACAAACATGCACACATATACACATACATAGACACATATACACACATACATACATACACACACACACAATGGAAAAAGGCCACTTTGTGTTGTCCATATACACATTGGATCATGGTCAGACTCTTAGTGGCCAAGGAAAGGTAGGTGTGTGTTTCTCCTCCTGCACCCACCCGCCACCACCCCACTAGAAGCCATCAACTATGGAGAGGCCCACAGGGACAACACGTCATCCCTGCACCCATGCCATGCCATCAAGGGGCAGGGCCAACTCAGGAGGACCCATGGATATCTACACAGCTTTAGTGAGTGTTAATACTGCCATGGAAGTCAGCATGGCCCCTGGCTGTCTCAGGATCTACTCATAGGCTTCAGTGGCTGCTTCAGCATGGCCTTGGCTGGCTAGACATGCCTCTTATATCCAGAAGGCCCCCTTGAACCGGGTAGTGGTGGCACACACCTTTAACCCCAGCACTCTGGAGGCAGACAGATCTCTGAGTTCGAGGCCAGCCTGGTCTACAGAGTAAGTTCCAGGATAACCCAGGCTTTACAGAGAAACCCTGTCTAGAAAAAAAACAAAAGTAAAAAAACAAACAACAAAGAGAACAGAAGGCTCCTGAGGCCACGAAGCCCGAGGGCAAAACCAAGGCAGCAGGCAGCAGCAAAGGACAGGACTGGACCCATATGTCCACACTGAGCTCAGGCTTCAGGCTTCATCCTGGCCTGGCTCAGCAGTGTAGTCCTTCAAGGATTCCAGTCCAGACTGTGGGTCTTTGAAGTTGCCCAGAGCCAGGCAGCATCAGAGGCAGAGTCTGTGTCTGCACAAACTCCAGGGCGGGGTGCAGCCTTCCCACCAACACTGCTCTGTGCTCCTCTGATCTTCCTAGCTCTCCACCACACATCTGTTCATCGTAGAGGAAGTGGGGGGCTCGACATTAACTTTCTAGAAAATAATTCTTATGCTGGGAGGTGGTGTCACACGCTTTTAATCCCAGCACTCAAGAGGCAGAGGCAGGTGGATGTCTGTGAGTTTGAAGCCAGCCTGGTCTATGAAGGAGCCAGCCGTGAGAGGCTTAATAGAAACAGACCACCCAAAGGAAGTTCTTCCAACCATTCTTACAAGGAGAGTGGGTGCCCTTTGTTCTGTCCCGGCCACCTGCACAGAGAGGACTCTTAACTGTTGAGCCATCTCTTGAGCTCCAGAGCTCATTCCTTGACATCTAGCATTTTGTATGCACATGGCCCCAGACCGTACGTAGAGGGGGACGTGCCATTCAAGCCGTAGAATTCAGCACAGCCGCCACCTGCCAGAATGGAAAGACGGAATCCATCCAAGTCCACAGTCTGGGAGCACCTCTAGTACACGGACCGTGCGTTCTGGCGTTTGGACTTCTGCAGTTCCGCTTCTGGCTAACTGTTGTTGCTAACTGAAGCATGTCACCCCAGGATGTGGTTTGTGCTCCGGGCTACACTGGGGTCTAGACACAGACAACAGCTAGAGTGTGGTTACCTGTTGGCTCTTAGACACTTTCCATTGGCTAAAACCTGTGTCTGACCCAGGACACCAGAACCCACATGGCAGCTCACTGCCACCTGTAGCTCTGGGGCCCTCCCCTGCCCTGTAGACACCAGGTAAACATGTATTGCACAGATACACATGCAGGCAAAGCACACTGATCAATTTTTGTTTATTTGTTTATTTATTTATTTATTTATTTATTTGGTTTTTCGAGACAGGGTTTCTCTGTGGTTTTGGAGCCTGTCCTGGAACTAGCTCTTGTAGACCAGGCTGGTCTCGAACTCACAGAGATCCGCCTGCCTCTGCCTCCCAAGTGCTGGGATTAAAGGCGTGCGCCACCACCACCCGGCGTTGTTTATTTATTTTTTGAGACAGGGTTTCTCTGTCTGTCCCGGAACTAGCTCTTGTAGACCAGGATGGCCTCGAACTCACAGAGATTCGCCTGCCTCTGGTGTGTAGGTGTACACGCAGACAGGCACTGTACACTAAATAAATAAATAAATCTATCTTTAAAAAAGACACACATGATCATAAATAAAAATAATAAAAATTAAAAATGAACTAATAGCTGGATGTGGTGGTGTACTCCTTCAGTCCCAGCACTCTGAAAGCAGAGGCAGGAGAATCTCTGTGACTTCAAGGTCAGCCTGCTCTCCGAGAGTGAGTTCCAGGACAGCCAGGGCTACCCGAAGAAACAAAAGAAAAATTGAGGTTTAGGAGGCGGCACACAGCCGGGCAGGACGATCTGGGATTGAGTCTGTCCTGCTGACTCAAGTCCCCAGCTCACACCCTGGTCCTCGCGATGCTCAATAACAACAATCTCATTGGCTAGAGTTGGTGCTGGTCACGCCTTCATCCCTACGCCTTTAGAATCCTATTGGTCCGGCGGCTGAGGCCAACCTTGCATACTAGACTAACTCGGGGATGGCTGAATCGAAAGTGTTGCCCGGCAACCGCTGGCTTCTTGATGACCCGGGCTGCAGATGGGCTGTGGACCCGCAAGGCAGGGCACACGTCTGTACGGTCCTAGAGCCTGTTAGAGTCGGGGGACGCGGACCTCAAGCCTGGACACACCTCCTACGAGCTGCCAGGGCCTCAGTTTCCTGTATAGCCTGGGCCCGGTGTGGCCAGGCTGACTGCGAATTTAGAAGCTTAAAGGTCCCGAATTGGTCATCTTATGTTTTGGGGTCACAAGTCTGATAAGGCCGGTAAAAGACAAGA